GTTGAGAATAAAAGGCAATTAAATTCCTCAGATTTGGATTATAAGGAAATAGAAATGTGATTTTCCATAGGGAGCGGAGGCTTAGATGGGATGGGGGCAACAACCAGTGTGAAAAGTGTTTATTCTTAAATATAGTAACATTAAGAACTGTTTATCATAATATACTGGTGGCAACTGCCCCTCCTTTTATAACGTACAATGGCCCCTGTTTCCTCCTCCAATGTATCCTCCCCCGGGGCCATGGCCATATCCTTCCCCTCCGTAGTAACTCTCTGACTTCACTGTTCAAATCCAAAACACATTATTTCAAAAATAATATTATCACGTGCAGATGTGCATTCCTCTCCCCGATTTCTAAAGTTTTCTCTTGAAATCTTGTTAAAACATGTATATAAATTCGTATATATTTTTCTTCAAAGATATGGTACAGGTACACAACATCCTGCGTATATAGTTTCTATATAAAATTTGCTTTAATTGTTTGAGATGGTCCTGATACGCACAATAAGACTTCATGACTATATCTTACATACTCATATGTTTGGACCTGAGTAAGTCCAAATATCGTAGCTCAAACAAACTTTCCTGACTTAGAGGGGACGAAACAGTTGGATGAAAATATCCTTAAAATCATTTTGGGCTTTCTGTAAAGCATCCAACGGAAAGAAACGTAAAATTAAAGTTACAAAAGAAAGAAACGTAAAATTTACAACATTAATTATACGTTTAAGTTCAGTAAGCCTCACAAATGTTATCTACTTAGACTCAATGTATAAAAGAGTTTTACGTACCTGACTGCCCTTTGGATGTCGCAGCAACTTCTGAGACGACGAAAAGAAGTGCGAAGAGACCCAACAAAACTAATGCCTTGGAAGCCAAATTATATTTTCAAATTGTTATAATATTTTGTTGTATGGAGAAGTGATGAATGAAATGTTACCATGTGTGCCATCTATTTAAAGAAAACAAGACAGAGGAAATGAGAAAAGTCAAATATGAAATAACCCTAGGCCAATAGAAATAGAGGAAATTTTATATCTTTTTTTTTTTATCAAAGGAAAGTTTATATCAAAATGAAAAAAGGGGAAATTGCTTTCTATCGTAGACAAACAAAATTATAATTCATTATCTAACCAATTAACCTAGTTTACATAGATATATCATGTATTTTATATAATAATATACACTAATACCTTTGTAAGTCACCGATGAAACCTGCTACCAAACTAATTTTAAAATAAATAATACGTTAATGTAAAAGGTAATATATGGCTTTTTATTATTCACACACTATTTTAAAACTATTTTTATTTGATAATTTTTGGGAAAATGAATATGTTTCATCTCAAATTTGCAAGATCCCTCAACACCACTGTCTACATAGCCGGTGAAGTACAATGGAGGAAAAAAACACTTTCGAAGGCTACGACATTAAGGAAAGGAGAAGCTTCTCAGACTTTGAAATAAACAATCCCAAAGAATACAGAACAAGAGAGGCGGCGAGGTGGATTAACGCTTGCAAATTCAAGTTCCCAAAGCTGTATTGCAGATTTCAATCATGTAAGTTGCAGCTGTTCTGTTATTGTTTCTTATGTCCATGTCCATAGAGTACTGTTCCTAGAGTGTAACCTGAAGTAATTTTTTGCTGGAGTCAGTATATGGAAACGCTGTAACCTGAAAGTTTGAAACTTTGTGTTTGGACTCCACTCCATTGTACACTCTATTCCATTTTCAAAGTATTTGTTACCTGAATACAAATAGAATAGTTTTGAAAAATCTAAATCTGAAGTAGTTTTTGTTACTTTCATTTTATGATATTTTCAAGTCATATATGGTACCGGAGTAACATGGAATAAATGTTAACAATCTTCTTGTTCGAATTGTCGTTGCTTTGCGTAAGATCTAATGAGCTGAATAGAATACCATCCAACGAAATTAAATAGAATAGTTTGTTGGTTTCCATTCTCATTTTTGTTTGTATTGTTGTTGTTTGTCTATACATACCGTTACATCTTTTATGGTTTCCGTTCTACATTTTTGTTATACTATACATTTTATTTCACATTTACTTTGTTATATGTATCCTAACAATTGCTTTGTGTTTCTCAGGTTACAAATGGATAATTTAGAATGTCAAATATATTGTTTGAAACTGGATTCGAACCATTTCGTGAATATATTCTCATTTATATGTAATGGTGCAATGTGTATATAAATGGAATAGACCGCGTGCACGTAAAATGGAAAGATCATACATGTGAAATAGAATGTATGTTATTTGCTATTTGTTTTATTCTATTCTATTTGCAGAACATACAATAGAAATATGATTTTACAGTGCATTCGCATAAGTTATGTTTTGTTGTTGTATTATTGATATGAATCCTAGTTTATGCGTATTGATCAAAAATTAAGTATTTGAAACTCAATTTTATCACTTCCTTAACCACGTCAACGTAAGTCTAAATTTCACAAATTCCGTTAACCACATCCAAATTTTATAATTTCACCAATATGTAGTATGCTATTTATTTTGTTCTATTTTATTTAGGTTAAGAATTTATATTTGGGTTTAGAGTTTATATGTGAGTTTAGGGTTTAATGATAAAGGTTTAGAGTTTAGTATGTAAGGGTTGGAGGTGAAGATGAGACATGATTAGGATTTATAGTTTAGTATTTCAGGACTAGAGTAAGATTTTATATTTAAGAGTTATGGATAAGATTTGTATCCTATACTATTTCTCCGATATGGAATACACCTTTACTGAAAATCTATTTTCTCCACTTTTTTACAGTATTTATTTATTTATTTTTGTATTTAGTTTTTTCGTTATTTGGTTGTTATGAAAATAGATTTACATTGTATTGTAAATTGAATAACCACTCTTAGAAAGTATTCAATTTTTATCCATTTGTTTTACATGTCAACTAAATGTGTGGTAACTATGTATGTGATGTAAGTGATTTCATGTGTTTTCATTATTAATAGTGTTTATTAACTCATGTTTCTCTTCTTTCATGGACGTCACCATATTTTCTTTTTTACTGGGTACTTACAAGTGAAAAGAGTATAATCGACTAAATTTTAGCATAAATGTTGGTTTATTAAATAGTTCAAAATTAAGATAATACTATATTTAATTTCTATTTTTAGTTTCTATATCGAGCTAATTCTCCCATAAAAAAAATCATGGAAAATAAAAAGCAATTTGTAAGGAGATAAGTATCAACGGACTCAGGGGCCACTTTATAGTTGGTTGTTGGATTCGTTGTAAATAATTTTGAACCGCCATAAATGGCAATCCCCACATTAAACGTCTTAAACACGTATCTAGTAATATATAAATAGCATTGTACTATTTGGAGATAAATCGTTCATTATTGGAGAGTTTGATTACTTGTAGTATTGACATAAATCTCAACAACACATTCTAAGAAGCGGGGCCGACGACGGTTATGAGTAATTTTTATACGGTGACACGTAACCAGGCCTGGCTCTACGCCAGAACCGGTCCTATAAATATTAAGGCTACAAGCCTAAACAAAAAAATGGCCGAAATATAAGAGGAAAGATTCGAACCCACGCCTGATGCATGAGGCAGCAGCTATGTAGACCACTAGACCAACACAGATTTTTTTTTTAAAATGTGGCCGATATTTTACTTATCTAAATGCGGCCGGAAGCACCCGCTTCTTTCGCTTCCATCCAAGACCGCCTCTGTTCTTAGCATGTGTTAGGGTTTGTACTGAGCCCAAAAAAATTTTGTAAAATTTTTGCTAGTATAAGGGCTGTTTCCCAAGAAAAAATAGAGCCATTTTTCAAATTTGTTTAGTTTTTGGTTTAGGATAAATAGTTTGTGCACATGATCTATATTTCCTCTGTTTCATAATGTTACATGTTTTTTAAAAAATTGATTTAAAAAAAAAATACATTTTGTACATTTTTAAAGTATTTATCAAATAATAATGACTAACTACAACTTCCAAAAAACTTAATTGCACATACTGGATTTTCATTGGTTTAGATTATAAAAAAAAATAATAATCACAAAAAACTATTCATTTATTATGTGTTTTATTACTATGTATGAAAAAAATAAAATATGTAATACAAACACATGAGACGGGACTGGACGTAACAGTTTCTAAAGACGGCCTCTAAAGAATGCAAAATTGTGCATCACTATATTCATCGTGAATATGAATATTCTAATTGATATTTCTTATTGAAAAATATTTGAGCTTAGACCATCTCTGATGGTTAGAACCAGTGTTTTGAAACCCGACCTGGATCTGTGGTTGAACCTGTAAACCTGGTGACCCAAAATAAATTTAGTTCAGATTTTGTTAAAAATCCAAAATTTAAAAATTCGTAAAAACCCATTAAAACCCAAAACTCGATACCGGTTGAACCACTGGTTGAACCAATAAATAATATTTTTTTTTAGTTTTGAATTATGTTTTTATCCTCTTTTATATTCTAAATTTCTAATTTAAGAGTTAGGTTTTCACGTTTTAGTTATTGGCATTGCCGTCTTTTTCTTTAAATTTATATTAAACTTTCTGACTATTTTTATCATACATAATACCTAGTACACTATTTTATCTGTGAATTTTAAACCCGGCCAGACACTGAACCGGACGACTTACCGGGTTATTGGGTCACTGGGTCGACCGCAGATGAACCGCGAGTTAATAAATGAAACTTTATTATATAATAATATATTAGCTATGAAAATAAATATATAGAAACTAAAGTTAAATATTTTCTAAATGTTCTTAAAACATAAAATGTATAAATATACAAAATATCAAAAACTAATTTAGACTATTTAAATTTTTTTATAACAAGTTAAGAGTAATGACATCTAAAACAATCAAGATAAAAAATTCATAAATATTTAAGTATCTAATGAGAATAATAAATTAAACTTCAAATCCAAAATAAACCAAAAGTAAAACATCATTGTAATAAATTATAAATAACAAAAATAAACTAACACCAAATCACATTAACTAATTTTGGTTTTCGCTACCACCCTTCAGTTCCTTTTCTTCAGGTAGTATAGTGAAATCTTCATCAAAATTTCAAAATCACAGATAAAATAGTGTACTATGTATTATGTACGATAAAAAGTTAGAAAGTTTAATATAAATTTAAAGAAAAAGACGGCAATGCCAATAACTAAAACGTGAAAACCTAAATTTTAAATTAGAAATTTAGAATATAAAACAGAATAAAAACATAAATCAAAACTAAAAAAAAAGTAAAAGTTTATTTATTGGTTTAAGCAGTGGTTCAACCGGCATCGAGTTTTGGGTTTTAGTGGGTTTTTCCAGGTTTTACGGGTTTTAAATTTTGGATTTTTAACAAAACCCGAACCAAATTTATTTTGGGTCACCGGGTTTACAGGTTCAACCACGGGTCCGGGTCGGGTTTCCAAACACTGATTTCACTATACCACCTGAAAAAAATTAACTGAAGGGTGGTAGTGAAAACCAAAATTAGTTAATGTGATTTGGTGTTAGTTTATTTTTGTTATTTATAATTTATTACAATGATGTTTTATTTTGGTTTATTTTGGATTTGAAGTTTAATTTATTATTCTCATTAGATACCTATATATTAATGAATTTTATATCTTGATTGTTTTAGATGTAATTACTCTTAACTTGTTATAAGAAAATTTAAATAGTCTAAACTAGTTTTTGATATTTTGTATATTTATACATTTTATGTTTTTAAAACATTTAGAAAATATTTAAATTTAGTTTCTATATTTTTATTTTCATAGCTAATATATTATTATATAATAAAGTTTCATTTATTGACCCGCGGTTCATCCGCGGTCGACCCAGTGACCCAATAACCTGGTAAGTCGTCCGGTTCATTGTCCGGGTCGGGTTTAAAAACATTGGTTAGAACCCATCTAATGATTAATTTAATTATAA